GGGCAGCTCAAGAAGACACAGTCAAATATTATAATGAAATGTGCAAAGGCATGAAGTTTGAAAACCAAAAGGGAAGAACACATTCAGCATTTCTCAAGCTGAAAGAACTGAAGAAAAAAATCAACCCTCAACTTGCAATACTGAAGGATTCTATCAGCAAAATATTGAATGATGCAGAAAGCATCAAAAGAAGATGGAACAAATACACAGAGTCAATGTACCAAAAAGAAATGGTTGATGTTCAAATCATTTCAAGTGGTAGCATATGATCAAGAGTCAATGATACTGAAGGAAGAAGTTCAAGGTGCATTAAAGTCATTGACAAAGAACAAGGCTCCAGAAATTGATGGAATACAAATTGAAATTTTTTCAACCAACTGATGTGGCACTGGAGGCACTCACTCATCTATGCCAAGAAATTTGGAAAACAGCTACATAGTCAACTAATTGGAAGAGATCCATATTTGTGCCAATTCTGAGTGGTAACCCAACAGAATGCAGACATCATTGGACAATATCATTAATGTCACATGCAAACAAACTTTTGCTAAAGATAATTCAAAAACAGTACATTGACTGCCAGAGATTCAAGCCAGATTCAGACAAGGACATGGAACTACGGATATCATTTTTGATGTCAGGTGGATCTTGGCTGAAAGCAGTGAATACTAGCAGGATGTTTACCGGTGTTTTATTGACTATGCAAAGGCTTTCTACTGTGTGGATCATAGCAAGCTATAGACAACATTGTGACGAATGCATATTCTGGAACACTTAATTGTGCTCATGAGTAACCTGTACATAAACCAAGGAGTTGTTTGTATAGAACAGTAAGATACTGAATGGTTTAAAATCCAGAAAGGTATGTGCCAAGGTTGTATTCTTTCACCATACTTATATGTGCATGTTGAGCAAATAATCCAAGAAGGTAGATTATATGAAGAAGAATGTGACATCAAGATTGGAGAAAGACTCATTAACAACCTGCGATACGCAGATGATACAACCTTGCTTGCTGAAAGTGAAGAGGACTTAAAATACTTACCAATGAAGATCAAATACCACAGCCTTAAATATGGGTTGCAGTGAAATAGAATGGAAACAAAAATCCTCACCACTAGACCAATAAATAGCATCATGATACA